TGAAAAAACCTTGTGGATTCCTGGTCGGCACATTCGCCCCTGTCATCTTCCACAAAAGCTAAATACTCCTTCTTCTGATCCTGTCATTCCTCCAGCTCCACCTATTCTTTGTGACGACCGCCGCAATCAGTAAAGGATCTCAGACCGCACTGTCTTCTGAAAGGTCAAAAATGAGGCCTTTTTGGCTTATGCTGCTTCTGCTTGTGCTGATATGCAAGGCCTCCGATAACCCCCACGCTCCCCTCAACCAGACGTGGGTAATCCTTGACTCACATTCTGAGGTGGTGAACTCCTCCTCAGCCAACCGATCTGGACCTTGGTTTCCCGGCCTCTACTTTGACATTGCAAAAATGCTCCGACTCACCGAAGACGATGACTTCATTAAAAAGCACCATTTTTATGTATGTCCAGGATATAGAAAGGAGTCTTCATACAAGAAACTTTGTGGAGGGGCTGATACGTACTTTTGTGCAAATTGGGACTGTGTTTCCACCGGACATATTTGGTGGGATGCCCCGATAAAAACTGATTATGTTTCCATTAAAAGAACCACCCAAAGCTTAAACTGTCAACAAAAAAGAGAAGATGGGACTATACAAGGCTATTGTAACCCGGTTCGCATTACTTTTACTGAGCAGGGGAAGAAATATGAGGGTTGGCAAGCGGGGCTCACTTGGGGCGTTCGTCTTTATGATAAGGTTCGGATAGGCTATCGCGATAAGGGAAACATCTTTACCATCAGATTGATATCTACCCCTATTACTCCCCCTGTGCCAGTTGCCCCTAACCAGGTAATTATCCCTCCCCCTCCAAGTACTCCCCGGGTAACTCCACCATCATAGAAGGGGTCATTTCCTCTCCACGCATTAGTAATCCATTGTAGGACATTGCCCAGGCCACTTACCAGCTTTTGAATGCTAGTCACCCCAATCTTACTTCTTCTTGTTGGCTTTGCTATAATGTTTTGCCTCCGTATTATGAGGCTGTAGCTTTTGAGGCGGCCTTTAACA